CCCGGCCCGTTCTGACCCGGCCCCGGCGCCATCCCCCGCCATCCCCGGGGCCTGTGCTGGGCCGTCCCCTCAGCCGCAGCCCGGCTCAGCTCTGGGACTCGCCCGGCTGTAGAAGCCCCGCTCGGTGCATTTATCAGTGAGGACAGGCCGGTCACACAGAAATACCGATTTTTAATTAGACGGCGAGAAATGGTGAAGCTGTCACCGTGGATCCCCTTTTCCTGCCCACAGGGAAATCGCGCGTGGAAAAGGCAGAGTCCTGGGATTTCCCACTCCCGATACAAAAACAAACACAACCTGTGTCCAACAAAACAATACACTTCTTTATTTTTAAAAGATTGTATAAAAACCCGCAAAACTTTCAACATCAAAAAATCCTTAACCTAAAAAAATAGCACCAGGGAGAGTTAGAAACCTTTAAAAAGTATCAAAAAGGCATTTCTGGAATCTACCTCTCCTTACAACATTTATAAACACGTAATAAAAGGCAGCTCTTGCAGGGAGAAACATTTCAAGGAAGACTTGTCTACTACAATTCTCATCAAGTAAGCTTAATGCCAAGACAATTCTCATTCCTCTTTTATCTTTGTTTACTTTCCCCAAGTCCTTTTTTTCTTCTTTTTTTTCCTCTTTATTTTTCTTTTCATCCAATAGGAAAGGATGTGGGATCTGGAGTATGAAATCAGAGATGCCATGGAGTGGAGCTTACACATTAGCCCAGCCCAGTTTGGAGAAATAAGAACCATGGGAGGCTCCCGAGGCAGAGGACGGGACCACCCCGCCTCGGGCTCCGCACCGGGCTCCGCACCGGGCTGGGGCTGGGCAGAGGAATTAGTGTTGTGACTCGGGTCCAGGCTGGGCACAAGGATCCAAAGCCGGGGTGCAAAGCCAGGCGGGGCGATGCCAGGCTTCCCAAACACCTCTGGCACCCTCAGAAATCTCCTCGCCATCCTCCCACTCGGGGCTGGTGACAGAGGTGGGCAGAGGGAGCTACTTGTCCCCGAGCGCTGCCGATGCCGGTGGTGACACGGAGGAGACCACTCGGCTTTGTCCAGCATTTTCCTGGCTCGAACACGAGTCACTTGAGAACAAACCCCCATGGGGAGACTTTAAAGAGCAACGTCCGGGCAGGACCAAGGGAAAAAGCCCTCAAGCTCCCCCTGGGCTTCCCCTTCTGCCCACTGCACCCAGCCCGGGGCTGGAGAGAAGAAGGGTGGGCAGGCTGAGCCCGGGGACGGGCTGCAAAGCTGCACACAAGCAGCTCCATGACAAGAAAAGGGGAAAATGGGAGGATTCCCTCCTGCGGGGAGGCATGAGGGGGGTGCAAGGGGGTCCCCATGTGTCAGAGAGGTAGAAGGAGCCGGGAGAGAAGCTCTCACCACAGATGCTGTACAACACCTCGCGAGACAGCCCGGCATCAGGCGGTTTGCACCCAATTGATTCTGAGAAGGCACCCAAGGACTCTGCCTGACCCAGGCTGTAGGGAAGGGCAGAGGTAGGGGAGGGCAGAGGGACCGAGGGGGAACATCAGAGTTGTTTCAGTGCATTGAAATGTGCATTGGAGTCAAGAGTCCCCGGGAGACACCGGCGGGGACAGCACTCCGGGGAGAGAGGGACGGGCTGTGCTGCGCCCGGGATTCACGGACAGCGAGACAATCACTCTGGCAAAGAGAGGGAGGGGAAGGGGGTGATCAAAAGTGAGCACGGTGGTGGCTGCAGCAGCTCCCAATTTGGGGGTATGGCCCCAGGAGCCCCCCAGGGCTCTGTCAGGCTGGGATGGGCACATGAGCACCAGCAGCACCCCAGCTCTGTGCACAGTCACGAATGGGGAGAAGAGGTACAGCCCCCGCCTGAGGACCCCCAGGACCTGCCCGCAGCGGGGGGACACACACAGCACCAGCCACAGCAGCTTTCCCACCTCGGCTGGGGTGGGGGTCGGGTGGGATTTTCCCTGCAAGGAGCCCCCTGCACCACAGCTAATGCCCCACCACCGCTGCTTGGGTTCCTGACATCATACATGACATGAGCTGGGGGCTGTGACATTGCCCACTACGCTGTCCTGACATCACAGGTGACACTGGGGGGCTGTGACATTGCCCACTACGCTGTCCTTCCATCACCGGTGACACTGGG